TTACCTTCCATTCCATAGGCTGGATGTAATACAGGAAGTTGTCTTTATCTCCCTTCACACTCCTGCACAGAGGCTGGAGGAAGAAGAGGGTCATTCACCAGATCACACCTGATTTATCTTTTGATCTGAGAACCCCACATAACTTTCTTAACCCCTTAGTGATTGCGGACGTACAGGGTACGTCAGACAAAAAAGGGTCGTTAACGACCGCTGACGTACCCTGCACATTTGAGCGCTAGAAGAGATCATGATCGCTTTCAGCTGTTCTAAGGGTTTTGCAGGGATGCCTCGATGACGAGGCATCCTGCAATACCCCCCAACTGTCGGGCCGTCGGGGGAGTGATCAATTCCGGGTTGCTCCACGTGGCGCCTGGCAGTGAGGCAGAGCATAGGAAGCCATCAGACAGGTTTCCGATGCTCTGCCTGTTTGCTGAGTGCCACAAGGAGTCAATCCATAGTGTTGCCTGCAGGGGGACTGCCTGAACTGACCGGCAGTCCCCCTGCTGGTGAATATTTTTTTAAGAAGTCTAAAAATAAAAAATAAAGTTAATAAATAACAAAATTTAAATAAATATAGAAAAAAGTCCCTAGTGGACTGAAACGTCGACACTATGTAATCAACTTTTGAAGCTTAAACAAATGGCACATTTTTGGCAACAGTATTGAGTCCTATGAGTGCACTTCCAACAAGGAATTTTATATATGATATATATATATATATATATATATATATATATATATATATATACACACATTTATTATATCTATACATAATATGTATATATATCTTATATATAATACATATATTAAAATAAAAACACACTTAGAGTAAAAGTACACACGTATATATATAATATATATAGTAACTATATATTGTATATAAATATTATTAGAAAAAAATTATTAAAAATAAATAAAAAATGTTAAAATAATAAAACAGCTTTTTAAATTATATATATATATATATATGTGTAATTTTATTCTAACTGTATTTTGATATTAATATATATATATATATTTATTTAAAATACACTTAGAATGAAATTATATATATATATATATGTATATATAAATAAATAAAAATAATACGAAATATACATATGTCTATATACATAATTACATAAATAATTTCATGAATATACAGGTAGACTTAAAATATATAAATATGTATATATATTTCAATTCTACGTGCATATTTGTGTAATAATTTTACATAATTAAGTAATTTTATTGATTACAATTTGGGGAACCTGTCTGACAACCCAGGCCGAAAGTCCAGAGAATTTAATTGCTAGCACTATATTTAACCCTGTAACTTTCCAAAACACCCTAAAACACCCTAAAACCTGTACATGGGCAGTACTGTTTTACTCGGTAGACTTTGCTGAACACAAATATTCATGTTTCAAAACATTAAAACATATCACAGCGATGATATTGTCAGTGAAAGTGGCCTTTTTTGCATTTTCACACACAAATGGAACTTTCACTGATGATATAATTGTTGTGATATGATTTACTGTTTTGAAACACTAATATTTGTATTCAGCAAAGTCTCCTGAGTATAACTGTACCCCCCCATCTACATGTTTTATAGTGTTTTTGAAAGTTACAGGGTAAAATATGAGGCTTGATTTTGCCTTTGAGAGCGTATAGTAGTCCAGGAATGAGAATTATCCCCATGATGGCATACTATTTGCAAAAGAAGACAACCCAAGGTATTGCAAATGGGGTATGTTCAGTCTTTTTTAGTAGTCACTTAGTCACAAACACTAGCCAAATTTAGCGTTCAGAATCGTTGTTTAAATTTTTAACAAACAAATATAAATGCTAACTTTGGCCAGTGGTTGTGACTAAATGGCTACTAAAAAAGACTGGCACCCATATTAAATACCCTTGGTTGTGAGGTGTGATTCAGAGATTTATGACAGAGAACTGTGTTACAATGTCACTATTGATACATTTTAAATATATATATTTTGAAACAGCAATGTCCTACTTGTACTTATAGCCCTATAACTTTCCCAAAAAAGCTAAGAACATGTTAACATTGTATATTTGTAAACTCAGGACAAAATTCAGAAACTATTTAGCATGGGTGTTTCTTGGCGGTTGTAGATGTGTAACAGATTTTGGGGTTCAAAATGAGAAAAAGTGTGTTTTTTTACATTTTTTTAATCATATTTTATATTTTTTTATAGTAAATTATATGATATATATGATGAAAATAATGGTATCTTTAGAAAGATCATTTAATGGTGAGATAAACTGTATATAATATGTGTGGGTACAGTAAATGAGTAAGAGGGAAATTACAGCTAAAGACATACACCGCAGAAATGTAAAAACAGCCATGGTGTACATGCACTATTAGGCTAAAGTAGGTTAACTGGTTTAACAAGCTTAGCTAATAGATACTTTATGTAATGGTTATTTTACACCTAAGAAACTCCAGCACCTTTTAATAAATCTGTAATAGTTTTGTAACCCCTATGCATTTGCTAGCAAATTTAATTTTGTTATAACATATTAATAGAACCAGTAGCTATTGAGTATAGTTTTGCACCACAGAAGAAAATTAAAACATGTACAAAAATCAAAATAATAAAAGCAGAACCATATTCAATAGAAAATATACAATAGATTGAATTAGCCTGTTGAAATACAAACAAGTGAATGCAAAACATGTGTACATTGTGGAAATGAAAAGGTTAATTTCACAATCACTACTGTTAAAGTGTGTTCTTACCCAGATTAGTTTGCACATTGATTGCATTTTAGTTTTAATGGTATGCTGACATTTGCAGCCACTTCAATATTATCAGCGCTATTGGAAGTCAGTATTTTAAATCTCAGAACAAATGAAAGTTTAAGGAAGAGGCATCGACTCCAAGATCTAGATATTGAATGGTACATTACTTTAAAAAGCCGCTAATGTAACATCATTGCTACATATTAGATTGCGAAAGCATGGTTTGACTTTTTCAAAGTAAATGAACAAAGCTTAATATGAAACATTAAGTGATTTTATTTACTAAACACAAAACATGTAGATGAAGATTTGTCTGTCAAATTTTTACTCAACTTAGAGCCTTTTTCTTTGATTTGACTGTAATTTAATGTATCTAGTAACACACACGCTTAAAAAAGAGATCATAAATATATTTTTTGTCACTTTTCTAGAATTTACACAACTAAGCTAAACTAAAGAAACATTAAGAATCGCCTATAACGTGAGTTAAAAGAATGCTCTAGTATTAGAAACACAAACATATATTTCTTACACTATAGTGCTGGACTACATATTTAGGTGTTTGCTGTCCACCCCCGCAGAATTGAGTTAAAAGGTATTTAACGTACCTTTTCTCTATCACTGCTCTGGTCTCGCCATGGCTGGCCCCACCTCCATGGCTGAGATCATCGATTTCCATAGGAAAAGAAGGGGAGATATAGAAATATTGCATAAATTCTTTTCTGCACTGCATGCTTCCAGCAAGGTTATAGTTAAGGACCACATAAAAAAGCCCCATTGAGAGTAGAAGCAGGTAGGTATCTATTTAAGTTACTTTGGTATTCAAAATAAATTATTTAGGAGCCAAAATTCCAATATCTGCAAGAAGCTCTCTCAAACCATAGCATGACAGTCAGACCCTGCCTCCCCACTTTACCATGATCTGTCCATCCCCCAACCAGTACCCACATGGGTGATATAGGTGACTAGTTTATTACAGTGAGCAGCTATTGGTTGCTCACTGTTTAGCAGACACACACGCACTTGGGGGAGGTATAAAACACAAGCTTTTGTTTAATTTCTTTTTTTGACTAACAGGGATAGGCAATGAATGAATGGTTTAAAGCTAAATTGGTTCACCTGAATTTTCGTTTGAAATACAATTAAGCAAACAAAATGTGGACGCACAGAACCAGAGCATGAGCGAACTTCAGCTCGCCCTGAACATTTTTTAATTTCGTAAAAAAACTACTCAGATGATGCTAATTTTCTGTCCCTGCATAAGTCTAGTGTAAATGTAATTTCTGATTCCTTTGCAGAAATAGAAGTTTTTTTCTTCAACTGCATACATTTAAAGAAATAACCTTAATCACAAATCCCGTTATAAGTATTAGCAAATATGTTTCTATTTCTCTATAAACATCTACATTTATATATCTGATATATGAAATAGAAAATTGCATTTTTGAGCATAATAATAATAATAATAAAATGCAGCAGTTTTAATGATCTGTCAATGCATATTTTTGTGACACTGCTGATGTGTATAGGCTTAAGGGACTAAATATTTACCCACTACACATCACTACGCCTTTAGGTTTTCCAACATTTAATTGATAACAACATTGATGTCTAGTTATCAGCATTTGTTATGATAAGCACAGTAACTATGTTGTATTTTCAGCAGATCCACCGCTATGGCTATGAAAAATAAAATGTATGTTGTAGCAAATTAGAAAATCCAAATTTAAAATAGGTCAAATAGGTCAAATTTTGATACTAATGTTTTTATTTTATTAAAAAAAAAAAGATTGCATTAGCTATATTGCTAAATAAACACCATCTTGAGGATGAAGTGTGATGGGTTAAGAGGAAGGACATTATAAGACAAGTAGTGTTTCATATATCTCTTGTTTTCAGGAACAGTGAATTAAAGTGAAATAAAACTTGAAGCGCTAAAATAGTTTGGCAACAGTGGACGTAATGAAATAAATTCTCCAATTCAGCTGTAGTCACAGCGTTGCAATTTTAAACTAAATTTTGCAATTAGTTTTTTTAATGCAGTGCTTTCCATTATTAAAACCATTCCAGGTTTATAATAAGCAAAGAAAAAAAAAATAGTTGAGATTCTGATTCACTTAATGATCAAGAGAATCAAGTAATTAGTGATGTCCCGAACTGTTCACTGAACGTTTCGCGAACGGTTCGACACGAACGGTTCGCCACGGACTCATCATTGAGTAAACTTTGACCCTGTACCTCACAGTCAGCAGATACATTCCAGCCAATCAGCAGCAGACCCTCCCTCCCAGACCCTCCCACCTCCTGGACAGCTCACTAAGAATGCAGCTTCACAATGGATGCTGTCCAGGAGGTGGGAGGGTCTCGGAGGGAGGGTCTGCTGCTGATTGGCTGGAATGTGTCTGCTGACTGTGAGGTACAGGGTCAAAGTTTACTCAATGATGAGTCCGTGGCGAACTGTTCGTGGCGAACCGTTCACGAACCGTTCGGCGAACAGTTCGGGACATCACTACAAGTAATGTTTTTATAAAATTAGGATAATCAAATTGTCTGTCTTTGAATCATTTTATTATTACAACAGTTTTGCTAGTGTGGTAAATAAATAAGAATAGCTCAGAGATAGGTCATTAGTGTTCTTAATATATTTTATACCATAGGTATATAAAACATACAAAGTGTTGAAAAGGGTGAGTTTGTTTTCCCATATATAGTAAGTAGATAAAATATGAATGTATTACCTAACCGGGTCGACTTATGTAAATATTCAGTATTTGTTTTCCAGACATATTCAGCAAACAATTCAATCATTCAGACAACCTTACATTTATAAATATCCTGAAGAAGATGTTTTAGCGGTCTTGAAATATTGCAAGGTGTCACAAGGGGCTAGGGCAGTGGTAGGCATCATTTGGCACTCCAGATGTTCTAGACTACATCTCATTTGATGCTTTGCCAGTATTATTTGCAAGAGCATTATAGGAGATGTAGTCCATAACATCTGCAGTACAGGAAGCTCCTTACTTGCTCCTCGCCACTGACTTCACCATTGGCTCCACCGAGCCGTGCTGTAGCTGTCCATACTTCCATAGTTGGAGTTATGTCCTTAGTCTCTGCTGATACTATGTGCTAGACAGAGCTATAGTACCTGACATGATTTAAGATGCCAGGTTACACTCTGCCTCCAAAAACAGACTGTCCTTTTAAACAAGAACCCCCAATAATATCTCTGAGTGTGCCCAGTGCAGTGCTTGGATATTCTGAAGTCTTGGCTAAGGTTACCTAGTGTTGCTGCCTGCCCTGACTTTAGGCTGTCTGACAGAACTTTTGCCTGATTCTCTTGGGCACCTCACTCTTTGTTTAGTTTTATTTTGTTACTAAAGCAACCATGCCGCCACGGATCTCCCAGGACCCTGTCCTTAACTCCAGGTTCGCCTTAGAGGTAATCTTTGTAATAGTGTTCTGCCTTGCTGCTATTGGGTCCAAGCTTGTTTTCTGTACAGTTTATTTTACAGAAATGCTACTGTGCCTATCTGCAAACATTATTATAGTTTTTGGTGTTGTATTTTAGCAAGGGATAACAATATAATTTCCCCATCCCTTTCATTGTTTTTCACTGTCGTACCACTAAATATCCAAATGCAGGAAGAATGACTTGCCTGTGACATTGGTTCTATTAATAGAAAATATCAGACAATATCAGAATAATAGAAAAGGCATGGGATACCATGTAATATCTATACTATCTCTTTAATATATAGCAAATCAAACTGCTCTTATTTTACGTTCATCTTAAAATGTTATACCATATTCTAGTGCCCAAACCCAGTGGTATCCAGAACCTGCCATCTGCGATGCAAAGATAGCTTTATGTCTATAATGTAAAAAATTGCTTATTACATTTTTTTTTAGATACAGATGGGCATAGCTCCGTGACATTTTCTTCTTCATTTGTTTCACGAGAAAATAGTTATCCTTGGTAATACTATTTTCAATTTCCTGTTTTCATTTTTTAAATGTTCCTTGGCTTGACAGTCTAAGAAAGGGATTCTTGTTACATTAAAAATAAAAAGAGAATTATGCTGATCCTGCCGACATTTTTTTGAGGAAATAACTTCCATGAGCAGCATTCTTTATTTAATTAAAGGTACACTATAGTCACCAGAACCACTACAGCTTGATGTAGTGATTCTGATGTCTATAGCCTGTCCCATTTAGCTTTTCAATGTAGAATGCAGTGTTTACATTGGTGCCTAGTAACACCTAGAGTGGCAGTCGCTCAGTCGGCCACTAGTGGTGCTTTCTAGGCCAGTGCTTCACAGTGTGCAGCACAGGCGTTCAGCTTTTCTACACTGCACGGTTTGCCCCCCATCTGGAATAGCATCCCATATGGGAAAGCACTGGATTGGCTGAGATCATCAAAACTGATTATTTCAGCCATGGAGGCAGAGCCAGCCTTGGAGAGACCAGCGCAGTGTGGGTGAACCGGTAAGTTATATCAACTTTTTTACGCGTATGGGAGGTTACATGTAGAATACATGCTTGTATTCCTGACACTACATTGTTCCTTTAAAGTGTATATAGTAATACTTTTCAATACTGGCTTTCAAGGACCCATTGTCTTGCATTATATTGTCCTATGAACTCTGGTAGATATTGTCCTTCAAGTTGGTGGATCTGTTAAGGTGACTGAGACCCTAATTGATCTGCTAACATCCAGAAGAGGATCCTGAACAGAAACACGCATGGTCACATTCATGTATCTCCTGATTTCTGATATAATTAAGGTAGTTAGTTTAACCTGTTTAATTATCATTTAACTGATTGAAACACAGAGCCTTCTGGAACTCACTTCTTGCTTGGCTTGTTGTAAACAAGCATCTAGTGAGGAAGCAAAGGCAGTACTTGCCACAAACAAAATATAGAATTACATGAGTTACAGAAGAAAAAATTACAGTTTTTAAATATATGTAAAGTCGTAGGAGTGACTGAAGCTGTCTCTGGATTAAATGTAATGCATTCATTAGTTGCTTGAAAAGCCTGTTTCAAAATCTTCCTTTCCTAAAATATTTTTGAGTAAGAATCTGTTTGTGAAGTGTGCAAAACAATAAAAAATATATTGGAAAATATATGAAATGACAAAAACTAAATAGAATGGCACGAGGCAACAGTTGTCAGAAATGTTAGGAAAATTAACTCCTCCTTTCTCAAACTTGCATTCATTCTTACCTCGAGACCAGCATCTACAAAGAAAGATAAGGTCTACCTAAGTGCATTCAAACCCTCTCCATGGGGCGTTAAAACTCTAAAAACCTGCCTCCCACTAGTGAGATCTTAACAGCATTATGGGCCCCGGGCAAAGCAGTGCACTGGGGCCCTGCCTACACAACAACTAACAGGAATACAATTTTTTATTATCACTAAAATTAAGCTTATATTTATTGGTACCTCCAACAAATGCAATACATACATACAGACAGACTGCTGAACACATTTACACATAAGACTGCTGAATACATGCACACAGACTGCTGAACACATTCACACACAGACTGCTGATTACAGACACAGACTGCTGAGTACATAAAGAAAGACTGCTAAATACATACACAGTCTGCTGAATACATACGCATAAACACACACACACAGACTGCTGAATACACACACACACACTGCTGAATACACACACACAGACTGCTGAATACACACAGGCTGATGAATTCACACAGCCTGCTGAATATACACAGATTACAGTGAGGGGTGCAGTGTATGTATTTGTGTGTAGGGGTGCTGTGTATGTCTGTAGGGGTGCTGTGTGTGAGATGTGTCGTGTGTTAGAGATGCTGTGTGTTAGAGGTGATGTGTGTGTGAGAGATGGTGTGTGTGTGTGTTTGAGGGGTGCTGTGTGTGTGTGAGAAGTGCTGTGTGTGAGGGGTGATGCGTGTTCTGCCTGCGGGAGGAGTGAAGATAGCCTGCAGGCTTTATATCATTACTCACTACCGGACCACCAGTGTCCCCCCCTCCCACCAAAGGTAAGAAGAAGGTTGGGGGCAATGAAGCTTTTTTTTTAATACAAAAAAAATAACAAGTAAAAAAAACCTTTTCCCTATGCACCCCCCACACACAGAGCACCCATTACCTCACACAGCACCCCTAACACTCACACACAGCACCCCTCTCACACAGCACCCCTCTAACACACTGCACCCCTCTCACACACACAGCACCTCTGTCACGCACACAGCACCCATCTCACACTCAACACCTCTCTCACACACACACAGCACCCCTCTCACACACACTGCACCCCTCTCACACACACAGCAGCCTTCACACACAGCACCCCTCTCACACACAGAGCACTCATCACACACAGCACCCCTCTCTCACACACAGCACCCATCACACACAGCACCCCTCTCACACACACAGCACCCATCACACACAGCATCTCTCTCACACACACAGCACCCCTCTCACACACACATAATCTCTCTCACACACACAGAACCCCTCTCACACACACAGCACCCCTCTCATACACACAATTGTTTTGCATGCACACACAGGACCCTTCACATACACAGCATCCGTCACACACACAGCACCCATCACACACAGCACCTCTCTTACAAACAGCATCTCTCTCACACACACAGAACCCCTCTCACACACACAGCACCTCTCTCACACACACAGCAACCTTCACACACATACACAGGACCCTTCACATACACAGCATCCCTCACACACACACCCCTCACTCACACACCACCCTTCATACTCACAGGACCCCACACACAGAGCAGCAGCACCCCTCATGCACACACTGCACCTCTCACACACACAGCACCCCTCAAATACACACAGCACCCCCTGACACACACACACTGCACCCCTCACTGCTGTCTGTCTGTGTGTATGTTCAGCAGTCTGTGTACATGTATTCAGCAGTCTGCATGCATGTTTTCTGCACTCTGTGTGTATGTATTTAGCAGTCTGTGTGTGTTTATTAAACACTCTGTGTACGTGTTTAGCAGTCTGTGTGTGTACTCAGCAGTCTGTGTTTGCATTCAGTAGTCTGTATGTATGTATTCAGTATTATGTGTGTATGTATTCAGCAGACTGTGGGTGTGTATTCAGCAGTCTGTGTGTATGTATTCAGCAGCCTGTGTGTGTACACAGAAGCATGTGTGTATTCAGCATTCTGTGTGTGTATTCAGCAGTCTGTGTGTTTGTATTGTATGAATGTATTGCATTTGTTTCAGGTACCAATAAATATGAGCTTAATGTTATCTAAAATTTACATTTTTATTTCTGTGAGTAACTGTGCAGACAGGGCCCCAGTGCACTGCTTTGCCCAGGGGCCCATACTGTTGTTAAGATGGCCCTGGGTGTTGTGTTTGGAA